CCTGAAGAAAGCAGGCGGAAAGGCGAAGAGCGCCGGGAAGGCGCACCAAACACGGGCCGCCGGCCCGGCCGTAGACCATCGCCATGTTGCCAGGACAGCGCGGCCGCCAGGCTGGCAGTGAACGCCCGCGTGGAGATCGGCGCTGTCGCATGCCTGAGTCCATTCATCCCGGCCGCAGGGGTGCCATGGGCAAGAAGAAGTGAAGGGCGGCGCAGATGGCGAGGTGGCGAGGTGGCGAGGGAGAGAGAGAGAGAGAGAGAGAGAGAGAGAGAGAGAGAGAGAGAGAGAGAGAGAGAGAGAGAGAGAGAGGACAGGAGGGTATGCGGAAGACGGGCGATCCGGCACTCGCACCATGGGGGCCCTCCAGTGTCGAGGGCTCTCAGGCGGGGGAGGGGGGCGCGATCGGGGCGCGAATTCGGAAAAGGAATTCATATCACATGGCCGGCTGGGGGCACTTTTGACGTACCGGATCCGATGTGTCGCGTGACTCTATTTTCGCTTTGAAATGGCGCGCGCACATCCACTCGGCTGTGTGTAATGAACAGAACACGTCTCACCAGCCGGTGCCAGGCGCCGCCCTCGCCGCCGCCGCCGCCGCCGCCGCCGCCGCAACCGCCGCCCGGGCGGGCAGACGAGAGACCGAGCCTCGTGCCAGCAACGAGCACCCCAGGGTGCCCCCTCCACCCTTCGCCCTTCCCGAAAGGGCGGGGCAGGGGGGTGGGGTGGGGGGAAGCACAGGCTGCGTCCGGCCGTCGTTTCCCGTGCAGGCGAGCGCATTTACATTTGCGTGCTGCCGGCGCCAGCCAGGTCGACGACAAGTCCAACGGCGGCGCAAGCGGAATATCGTTGTCTCCGCGGCCGCCTGCGAGGCGGGCCAGCCCCGGCGGGCCGGGTCGGCTGTCTTGTCCCCCCTGCGCCGCGCACCCGCCCTCCTGCCCGCCCGCTCCCTTTCGCGGGCTGAGGAATGCGCACGGGGCGCGGTGGCCGGGCCCGCGGACATTTTGTCCCTCGTACCCTGGCACTCCATTGGGGGCTGCTCGCCGGAGGGGGCACCCGCACAGGCGCCGGGGGGTGAACCGGTCGGATCTCGCGGAACGCCCGGCCCCCCCCCCCCCGCTTTGCGGCCGGCCTTTCCGCTCGCACACGCGCTTGTCCCGCGTCCGCCCCGCCCAGGGGAGGGCGGGGCTGGCGTCGGTCTGTTGTTTTTTCCCCGCGTCCCTTTCGGGGGCTGGAGAGGGGGGGGGGGGGGGGGACACCCACACGGTTACGGCGCCAGAGCGTCCTCTCCCCTGGAGAGAGCAGGGGCCGGGGGCGCCGGCCTGCCGGCACACCGGGGCGCCCCTGAATGCACTTGCGCCCGGCAGCGCTCGCGAACCCCGCGCGCTCCTGATGGGCCGACCCAGCCGTGTGCTCCGGCCCAGGGGCAGCGGGGCCTCTTTTCTCGCACTCCCGCGGATGTGTGGCCGCCCTCGGCACCACTTCTCAATGCCCTCACTCCTCCCCTGGCGGCTGTGAGACCTCCTTCCCCCCCCCCCCACACCCCCCCCCCTTCCAGCCCCTCCCCTCCCCTCCTCCTCCGCCCCCCCCTCCTCCTCCGCCCCCCCTCCTCCTCCGCTCCCTTGCCTTTTCCCCCCTCTCCGGACCCCGAATCGCATCGTCGTCATCGGCTCCGAGACTGCCCGCCCGGCTTCGCGCACCCCCGCCCGGGCACGCTCGCTCCAGGTACGCGCCACGGGGCCTGCTCCCACACGAGCGCACACACGCACACGCACACGAGCGCACACACGCACACGCACACACGCACACACGCACACACACACACGATGCTCTCCCTGCCCATCCACACACTTACACACCCACCCCGATCGGCAGCTGTCTTTGAGGTGCCCCCTCATCGAGGCATGGGAGTAACTCAATCCACACTACCGGCGTCGGCTTCGGAGGCTGATCCCCAGGTGGCAACGACGTCCCCCCGCGTCGGCCAGACTTCTGTCCCCCCCATCAACAATCCCCCTAGCTCCCCCTCTCCCGCGGCCATCCGGCCGCCTGTCGTCGCCACCGCCCCCACCGCCCCATCACCCGCCGCCTCCGCGTCGCCGCCCGACACCGCCGACACCTCTGCGAGCTCCGCCGCCGGTCTGCCCCGCGACCACTCGGACCTCGACGCCGACACGCCGCCCGCCTCGCCGGCCCCCTGGCACCAGGCCGCCCCCACTTCGGGCGCCGCTGCTCCGGCCACGCCCTCTCCGGCTGCCCCCCCGGCTCCCGGCTCTCCGGGCTGCTCCTCCTCCTCCTCCTCCTCCGGCCTGGGACTCGGCATTGTGAGCCCCTTTGCTCCGCGGTCGCCCACCCTCCTGGCCGACTTGCGCATCCCCTTCCCGGCTTACTCGCGTCTGGGTGCCTCACCGCTCCTGGCCTCGCTCGGCATCACGCCCCCCCGCCAGATCGCTGCCCCTGCCGGCACCCTGCCCGGCCCGTCGCCCCACCCGGCCCCGGCCTCCGCCCAGAGCGTCGCTGGCGGCACCCCGGCCAGCCTCGCCATCCCCCCGCCGGCCGACGCCCGGCGCGCCCTGCCCCCCGCGAGCCCCGTCACCGGCATCGTTCCCCTGCCGGAGCCCGCCCCGCTGGCACCCACGGCCGAGCCGTCGCCCCTGCTCACTTCCTCCCTCTCCTCGCTGGCCCTGCATCCTGGCCCCCCCGGCGCGGCCTCCTCCACCGACGCTGCCCTCCCTCCCGGACCGTCGCCCCTGATTCGCCACTGCTCGGTGCACTGTCGACACGCCGCCGGCCCCGCCTCTTCGCCCTCCCCGGACAGCCTCCCCTCGGCCGAGGGACCCTCCTGCATCGCCCTGAGCATGGCTCGCCGCCGGCCGGCGCGTTCCCGCCGGGCCCACCCCAATGACACCTCCACCACGGCCTCCCCCTCCCCGAGCCCTCCGCTCCCGGCGGAGGAGCCCTGCTCCCCGGGGCCCGCTGCTGGCCGGCCACCGACCGCTGCCCCGTCCGCCGGCCCCGAGGCCGGGCGATCGCCCGGCCACAACACCATCCCGGACCCGGGCTTCTCCCTGTTGAACATTTCCCCGGATCTCCTCGGGCCGCAAAAGTGCTGGGCCACCCTGTCCTATGAGATCCCGCCGCCGGCCAGCCCCGATGGCGGCGCCTCATCTGCCAACTTGCGAACCCCCTTCCCCCGGGTGTCGCGCTCCCTCTTCTCGACCCCGACCGACTCGTGCTGCGGGTGCCTGGCTCCGGGTGCCGACCCGGTGCCTGTCCTGGCCGGGCTGTATTCCGGTGTTTCGGCCACCGGGCACACCCTGAATGATGGCTGGCTCCTTGGGGCCGGTGCGTGCTTGCTCGCTGCTTTCCTTTTGATGGCTGCCGGGGGGGGGGGGGGGACCCCGGGTCACCCGGGTCCGGTCCCCGCCGTTGTCGTCGCTGCCGCCGCTGCCTCGCCTCTCACGCGGGCCCCTTGCCCACGCTAACCCCCTCTCCTCTCCAGATGGCATTTGGACCCAGCTGCCCCTGGAGGATGCTCCCTCGTACCCCTGCCCCGATGCCCCGAGCCTCTATGTCCCGGGGCTCAAGTCGGCCCTCTTCCTCGGCGGGGCCGTCAGCCATGACGAGCTTCAGACTCGCACCCAGCAATCGGCTGACCACTCGTCGCTGCAGAACCGGCTCCCGGCCAACTTCGCCAAGCTCCACCTGCTGGATCTGGATGGCGAGTGTGCGTCCGGCGCCTGGGGGGGGGGGGGGGGGACCCACTCTGCTACTCTCGCCCCTCCGCTCCTGCCCATGCATGACCGGCCCGTACTGACTGCTCTGGATGCTCTTGCGGTTGTTTTCTTGCCCCCCGCCCGCCCCCTCCCCTCCCCTTCGCACCTCCACCAGCCCGCGGGCGCTGGTCCGTTCGGGACACCCAGCCCGCCGGGCCGACCCGGTCCATCCCCTCCCCGCGCTACGGGCACTCGACATGCATGCTTGATGACACCCAGGCGGTGGTGCTGTTTGGGTATCAGTACACCACGCCGGAGGCCGCCGGGCCGGCGACTTGCCCAACACGCGGGGGCACTGCCACCGGCGCCGGCGCCGGCGCCACCGCCACCGCCGGCTCGGCCGATGGCGGCCTCCTCCACAGCAGCCCCTACTACTATGCGTCGGATGTGGCGGTCCTCGACACGGCCACCTGGCAGTGGACCACAGCCCAGGTGGCCGGCAGCGGCGGCCCGGAGTCCGCGCCGAAGGAGCGCACCGCCTCGGCCGTGGCCTCCTTCAACAACCAGCGCGTGTGGGCGGACATCGCCCCGGCCGGGATGACTCCCGGGGAATCGGCCTCGCGGCCGCCCGGCGGCAGCATGGCGGCCCCCCCGATGCCGGGCTGCATCGGCGGCACGGTGCAGCATGCCTCCGGGGTGGTGATCTTCGGCGGGCGCGCCTCCACCGGCGCCCCGCTCAATGACCTTTGGCTGCTGGACACCAGCACCGGGATCGACCACCGCCAGGTGGCCGGCCGGAAGGCCGGGCCCTCGGCCGGTGCCGGGCCCCCGGCTTCGGGCTCCCTCCGGGCGTCGTGGATTCGGCTGTGGTCCGGCGGCAATGTCACCTCCAGCATCGAGCACAATGCCCCGACCCCGCGGCACTCGGCCACGGTCTTCGTCATGCCGGGCGGGTGCAGCAGCTGCGGCACGGCCTGCGTCATCCCCCCCTCGGCCAAGACCGACAGCCCGGTGCAGGAATACTGGCGCCAGACGGCCGGCGACATCTATGTCTTCGGCGGTGTGGATGCCAGTGGCTGCCATCTGAGTGATTTGTACCGCTTCAGCCGGCGGACCATGAGCTGGACCAAGCTGGCCAGCGGGATTTTCTCCCAGTCCAGCATGTCCCCCATCTCCAAGCCCTCGCCATTGTCCTCCTCGCCGGCTGGGGATGCCGGCCGGCATGGGCGCCTCCCGGCCCTGGATGGCACCCCGCCGGCGCTCAAGCGCCGTGGCAGCACCAGCAGCGCCTTCTCCAGCCCGGCCTTCGCCATCACCCGCCTGCCCTCCAACGGGCTGCTGGTCATCTTCGGGGTCTTCCCGACCGCAGTGGTCATCGACCCCTACCGTACGTCGCTCGTGGCCTGCCTCTGTCCGGTCGCTCGGCCCGTGCGCCTGCTCCCTTTGGCTGACATTCGCGCCCTCTGCCCCGCCCCCCCCCCTCCCCTCCTCCGATGACTGCGGCCCTTGTGATTCCCAGTGGTGGCCACCGGGTCTCCCTCGCTGGCCTCGCCGCGCTTCCTGTCGGGCGCCACGGCCCCCTTCAACAGCTTTGTCCTGGCCTCGCGTTTGCCGATTGCCAGCCCCTCCTGTCATAGCTCTCCCCTGTCGGCCACCTTCGAGGTGCTGGACCACCCGACGCCCTTGGTGGCGGCGGGGCCCTCGGCGGCCACGGCTCCGCCGACCCCGCGCGCCGACCCGGACTCCCGGCGGTCTGGGTCTTCCTCCACCCCGGCCCCGGCGGACGAGGCGATCGGCCCGACCACCAGTGCCGCGGCCGAGGTCATTCGCCAGTCCCAAAGCCGGTCTGTTTGGAAGGCCTGGGGCCTGTCCAGCCCGGCCCCAGTCCGGTCCCGGTCTACCGGCGGGCTGACGCTCTCCACCCAGGCCACCGCCTCCTCCTCCTCCTCCTCCTCGCAGGGCGCTCTGTCCGACGCCGGCACCGCCGACCGGCCGCCTGTACGTCCCGGCCGCCCCCGCTGGCGAGGAGGCACGATGCGGCCTCCTCGCCTGGGCTTCTCGCTTGCCTTTCCCCCCCCCCTGCCTTCTCCTCCCTCCCTCGTGCCCCTCTTCCACACACCCCCCCTCTCCCCCTCTCTCATTTTCCCTTCTTCCCCCATATGCGCGCCTCACACTTTGCATGTGCTTTCTCCCGGCCATGTCTCTCGTCCCATCTCCTCCCGCCCCAGTCGATGAACCTCCACTCGCCCCGGCCACCGGGCACCCCGTCGCCACTGCAGGAGGAGCTCCTCTCGCGGGTTTCGCACCTGGAGCGCCAGCTCTTCGATGTGGCTCTGGCGTTGGGCCTGTTGCCGGCGGCGGCCACGACGGCCACCGGCAGCCCCAGCCAGCTGCCGGGCATCGGCGAGCTCCTGGAGCCATTGATCACCGAGTACTCGACGCACGATCTGCTGGGTGGGGCCCACGGGTCGCAGGCGGCCCCGCCGGCCGGTGCCGCCCCCTCCACCGCGTCCGCCCTGGTGGCAGCTGCCCAGAAGCTGGTGGCCAAGGCCGCCACCGTTGAGCCCCTGCAGGCGGAGCTGGACCTCGCCCGGTCGCAGGGCGCGGCCCTCGAGCAGGCCCTCGGCCAGTCGCTGCCCTTGCTGAAGAATGCCACTGCGACCATCGGCGCCGAGCGTCAGGCCCGCCAACAGGCGGAGGCCCGTCTGGCAGGTGCGTGTGTTGTTGTTGGCGGGGTTTGTCTGCCTCGCTCCCCTCTCTGGCCACTTGCCCCGCCTGTTTCTCCCTCGCCCCGAGTGCTGGGTCACTTACATGTGAAATGTGTGCGCGCAGCCTCCGAAGCTCGTGTCCAGAATCTTGAGGCCAATTTGGACTTCACCCTGTGTGCCTGGAAGGATCAGGCATCGCGAACCGCCACGCGCGTGGCCGAGATGGTGCGCACCCTGGCCCTGGCCCTCCTTCATCTCTCTCTCTCTCTCTCTATCTGTCCCTCTTGTGCGCACGCCTGCGCCCTCGGTGGGACTTTTCGTCCGTCCCCCCGCTCGTCCACTTACATGCAGAGTCTTCTGCCCTCACCCCCCCCTCCCCCCCTCTCTCCTCCCGCGTGCCAGGCCTCTGCATTGGATCTGCCCTGCCTTGAGCCGGCCACCTGCCATGCTTCCTTTGCGGACTTCGCGTCGGCCCTCGCCGTGCAGGCCCCCCCGGCCGAGGCACCCGCTGTGGAGACAGCTCCCGAGCCGCAGGCGCCGGTCGCCGCCACTGTGGAGACCACCGGCACTGCTAGCGCGGCCGAGGCCGCCGCCTCAGCCGACCCAGATGCCGAGAGCACTCCGGCCGTCGATGCTGCCCCGGCTCCTGGTGACACCGCGGCCAGGGACACCTCGACCGGTGCTGACACCGCTTCAGAAGACCCCGCTTCCGCCCGGGAGCCGGAGGCTCAGCAGCCGGCTGCTGCCGACCCTCCGGCCGATGCCGCCCCGCCCGAGGACCGCAAGGAGGAGGCCACCCCGCCGGTGGATCTGGATGACATTCCCCCATCCATGCGCCATCTGTTCATGGCGCCGGGGGCTGGCCCGGCCGCGCCGCCGGCCGCCGCCGCCGCCACCGGCGAGGAGGAGATGCCCCTGCCGACCAAGCGCTCGTCCTCCAAGAAGTCCAGCTCCTCATCGCAGTCCTCTACCAAGGGCGGGGGACGCAGCCGCGGCTCATCCAAGAAGTCTCGTGCCTCCGTCGTCAACCACTTTGGCTGAGAGGAGGAGTGTGTGTGTGTGTGTACGTACGCGCGCGCGAGGTCGGCTCGAGGAGGGGGGGGGCCGGCGGCCATGTGGGTGCACGCGCATGTAGATGCACCCCTTCCCGCCCGGCGGCCCCGGCGTCCCTTCTTCTCTCTCTCTCTCTCTTTCAACCCGCCGCCCCTCATCGCGGCCCACGACACCCTCTCTGTTTGTCCATGCCACCAGGCGCCGGGTCACCCCATCAATACAAATGACATCCCCTCCCACCGGCCCCCCGAGGACAGCACACCACCAACCAGTCCCCGGGGGGGGCGACAAAGGCACACGACAAGCCGGGGCATATATGAAGCGAGGGAGGGAATAATCTAATGTACAAAAGGGCGAGGAGGGGGAGGGGGGAGGGGAAGTCGTGTGCCCAACGGGAGCAGAGGAAAAGCGCCCTGGTCTAGACATGGAAGTGGTTGAAACGCATACTCTCCCCTTGGAAGATGGAGATCGAAGCCCCAGGCTCCACAAGCTCACGGGCGACCATCTCCTCCTCGAAGGTGGCGCCGATGGAGTGGAAGTCTTGGTGGGCCGATTTCAGCAGCTGCTTGCGCATGGCCGGGTCGCGGATCTTCAGCAAGGCCAGCTCCAGGCTGACATACCCCCGGACCAGGGGGAGCACCGGGGCCTGACCGGCGCGCGGGGCGGGTAGACTCTCGGACGGCATGCAATCACACCGCCGAGAGACGGACACCGCGCCCGCGGCCGATCGACCACCACCAGCACGAGACCCCAGCGACAGGGGCAGGGCCTCATGGCAAAGCGGGCAGATGGGGTGCTGCGAGGCCGCCTCGTCCGCCAGGGGGGAGGAGGAGGCCTCCGGCCCGGCGGCATCGGCCTCGGCCGGGGCCCGGGCCTCGGCCGGAGCCGGCATCGACGCGTGCAAGCGCTCAAGCAGGTCTTCGGCCGTGGCATGGGCCTCGGCCAGGTGACGCGGGGTGGTGGCGAAGGCCACCCCGGACAAATGGGTGTACCGTGCCTCGAGGATGGCCGCGAAGCCCGCCAACAGGGGGAAGAACCCGGTCGAAGTGGCGAAGAGCTGCATGCACCGGCGGAGCTGCGCCAGCAGATAGTCCGCCGTTGCCCGGAAGGAGGGGTTATTCATTTGCGGATGGAGGAGCCGAGCTGACCCCGGGGCGCCGCCGCGCCCGGGCAGCCGCCGGACCGACCCGGTGATGGTGTCCAGCTCGGCCATGCGCGCGGCCAGATGCTGGTACAGACCCGGGCCACTGTCGGCTTGCCCGGGCGAGGCACCGCCATCGGGGCTGGGCTCCTTGGTGGGGGGGCCCGGCAGGGGGGGCGTGGCCGCCTGGTCGCCCAGGAACAGCCGCGAGATGGGGCTGCTCTGGGAGAGGAGGCTCAAGGGGGTGGTCAGCTGGCGGAAGACCGACTCGATGAGTTCGGCCTCGGTGGCCAGGCCCTGCAGCAGCGAGGCAGCCTCCTTGTCGCTGGTGCCAGGGAGGCCGGCCCCGCCGGCTGGCAGAGGGAAGCTCAGCTTCCCCAGAAGCGGTGACCCGGGTGGCGAGGCGGCCAAAGGCGACAGGGGTGCCGGGGATCCGGGCGGTGAGGCGGCCGGCGAAGCCCGAGAGGAAGAGGACCCGCCGGGGCGCGCGGCGGCGGCGGCGGCGGCGGCGGCGGCAGCAGCTGCTGCTGCTGCAGAGCGCCGCGCCGCAGTCGCACGGCGCCCGCGCCCGACCGGCCGGTCGCCAGGCGCATGGGCCAGGCAGCAGGAAGGCAACCAGGCCCGGGTAGCGGAGGTGCCGGAGCCGCCGGTGCCACCGCCGCCAGTCGAGGCGGCGGCGGCCGACGCCCGACGCTGCCGACGAGCAGCACCGCCCTGCAGGTGGCCCTGCAACAGGTAGACAAAGACCTCGGCCACGGCGATCAGCGGGAGGATGCCATGCGGCACGCCGGCCGGGATGGTGTCCTCCAGCATGTCCAGACAGCGAGCGGCCACCGCGTGGGCACCCTCGGCGAAGCGGTCCGCCCGAAGGCGAATCAGCCCCTCGAAGCCCAACTCAAAGGTCTCCAGATGGCGATTGACCGTGATGGCTCGGAGCCGGGCCGCCTCGGCCAAATGCGCGCGCGCCTCCTCGAAGGCGCCCACCCAGAGGCTGGTGGCTGTCAGGCCCACCAGCGCCCAGTGCTGGCCATAGGGGTCGGCCTCATCGCCGGCATTCAACAGCAGCCGGCCGAATGTCCGCACCGAGGCCGCCGGGTCGCCGGTCACATACTGGATCCACCCGCGGAACATCAGGCAATCGCGCACCAGCTGGCCCTTGCCCTGATGCCGGTACACGGCCTCGCCGCGAGCCAGCTGCTCAAACACCCGGGGCAGATCCCCGTCCACCAGACTCCGGTAGCTGGTGACGATGTAGAAATGCCCGATGTCCGCGCCGCCCGTGGCTCCCAGGCGCTGGATGATGCGCTGCGACAGCCACTGGTACATGGACCCGACCATGCTGAAGGTCCGCGAGTGGACCGTCACATGGTAGCTCAAGGTGGCATAGGCGCGGATGAGCAGCTCGGCGGAATGGGGCCCGGCGATCTCCGCGAAGTTGGTGGCCGTCACGCACACATAGAAGCTGGCCCACATGCTGTAGTCGGCGAGGTTCTTTTTCTTGATGTTGGTGTTTGTTTTGTTTGTTAGCCATCGGAGGGGGGGGGGGGGGGGACAGGAAGCCAAGGGATACATACTTCTTGTTCACATACGCCCGAGTCAGCTCGGTGAAGTACTCGATGTCATCCTGCATCAGGACCCGGTGAGAAAAGGCCCCCAGACCAAATCGATGCGCCAGCTGCCGGCAAACCTCCCGGAAGTTGGCCATGAAAAGCTGCATGCCGCGCGTGGGCACCGGCCGTTGCATCAGCAGCAGGGCCATGTCCACGCGTCGGTTGGCTTCCGAGTACTGGCCCGAGGCCACCAGGCGCTCGGTTTCGGAATTTAGCTGCCGAACCAGCGGCAACCGCCGGCGGATGGACCCCTTCCAGAGGAAGGTCTCGAAGGAGAGCGACACCAGCATCAGGGCAATGACCATGACCCAGCGCACCAGCAGGTGGAAAGCGAAGCGCGCCCAGCCCGGCGTCAGGAGCACCGCCGCCAGCAGGCGATCCAGCGGCGGAAGCAGCGGCCCCGGCAGGGCTACCACACGGCCCAGCCGGACCAACGCCAATGACGCCACCGAATACAGGGCCCCATCCAGCTGGCCAAAGGCCCGCGACAGGAGCACCGCCGGGCGCATGGCCATCCGGCCGGCGAACCATGCGGCCTCGATGGCCAGCCGACCGGCCACCTGCACCGGGCTGGCCCCCATGTCGCCGCCAGCATGGCCATCATCGGGATCCTCATCCAGGAGACCCGTCTGCAGGAGAGCCCGCATGCCAAGCCGGGCTCGGTCGAGCGACACCAACAATCCCCCGGCACCCGGGGGAGCCCAGGACCCGGCATCAAACGCCGACGAGAAGGACGGCAGGGGCAGCCCGGCCGCCAGGGAGTCCCGGACCGCGGCCGGGTGCCACACCGGCATGGCGCCGGCCCCGGGCCCCGGGGCCGAGGACTCGCCATCGGAGCTGCCCTCCAACGAGAAGGGATACCCATGCGGCGAGACCCGGGCCGACCCCGGGGTGGCAAGCCACACCGGGACCACGGTGCCCGGGACCAGGGCCCCCGGAGCCAGGGTGGCATTCGGCACCTCCGGGCTCGAGCCGGACGTGGCCGGCGGGGAGACCGGCAAGTGCCACGGCGAGGCGAAGAAAAGGAAGAGCGAGAAGACCAAAATCGAAAAGCGCCCGGAATCCTGGAGATAGGACAGCCGGGGGGAGAAGTGCGCCAACTCCGAGTCCAAGTCCATCGGACCCCCATGCGAGTCCAGGTCCAGATGGTCCAGGTGGTCCGACGGCCGGTGGTGCCCGGTGACAGACGCCGACGAGGCCCCACTGTCGTCGGCATCCAGGGAGGACGTCGGCGAGGGGGAGGCCGGCCGGCCGGCGAGCGGGTCCGACATGCCCCGGCCATTCCGGCGCGAGAGGATGTACCCGGTGTCGGCGTCCGGCGACCGGGGCGAAGACATCTCCTCGCCGAAGGACGACGAGGACCCAGCCCCCGAGGGCGACTCCCCATCGAACGAGCAGAATCCCTCGCCGGCATCGGACAATAGCGCCGGTGCCAGCAGGGGCAACAGCGGATCCTCCTCCGGAGGAGTGATCCCGGCGCCGCTGGTCGACGATGACGACAGGGGCAAGAGCTGCCGGGCCCGGTCGGCCAGCAGCGGCTCGGGCGACATGCCAGCTCGATGCCCGGTCGATTCCGGTGACGAGGAGAGCACATCCCCAGCACAGAGACCCTCCGGGGGCGAGGAAGACCCGGACGTGTGGGAAGACCCACCGGAGGACAGGAGGGCCGGGTTTACGCACCCGGCCACCGGCGGGGGAGATACCGATGTCGAGGCCGGGGCCGGGGCCGGGGCCGGGGCCGGGGCCGGGCCATCGGCACCCTCGGGCGCCAGGACCAGAGCCCAGCCAGCCGGCCGGAGGGCCATCCCCTCGGGCAGGCGCCGGACAAAGTAGGCCGGGACAAAGCGCTTCCGGGACCCGGGAACAATACGAGCAGTGGGGCATTCGGGGGGAGCAGGTGGCGCGGGAGCCGAGTCAAGCTAGCGCTCGTGGTACGAAGCTGACTCAGGGCCGCGCCGAACTGAAAAAAATCCCCCCCAGCTGTGGTGTTCTTGTCGGCGCCGGGGAACCCCCCGACAAAGTGCCCGCCGCCTGTGGATGCCGCCGGGCCAAGGTGACCGCGATTCCCCTCGGAGGGGAAGGGCGGCAGCGGCGGCGGCGGTGGCGGCGGCGGCGGCGGCGGCGGCGGGAGCAGATGTCGCGGATCCCCCGGGCCTGTCGGCCCAAAGTCCCCGCCAACCAGCCCATCATCAACACGGCTGTCACCGGTGCCGCCGCCGCCGCCCCCGCCACCAGGGCCAGGATCAGGCCCACCACCGGGGCCGGCCACGGGGAACGGCTCAAAGGTAAAGGCATCATACTGGAAGTCGCTGTCCAGGGCCATCGGCTGGATGAAAGACCCATAGCCGCTCCCCTGCGAGGGGGAGGAGTGGAGCTGCGGCGGGCCAACGCCGCCGGAGAAGCTCGGCGAGATGGACGGCTCCAGCATGCTGCCCGCGAAGTCCGCCATGCCAGGGCCACCCACCGCATACCCGGCTCCGGGGTCCGGGTGCGTCGGGTCGAAGAGGACAGCACGTGCCGGGTCCGGGAAGGGATGGTGGCGCTGGTGCTGCGAGTTGAGTCGGGAGGGGGAGGAGGGGGGGAGGGGGGAGGAGAAAGGACCGAGAAAGGGGGGAAAGGGAGGACGGAGGAGCGGGAAAGCAGGTTGTCAGATGTGTGCCAGAGGAAGCAGCGGACAAGATGCATGACAAGGCACGCGCAGGCGAGGGCACCAAGACGCACTGAGGGATCCAGCGAGAGCTCAACCGAGGGCGGGGGAGCCAGGCCCGCGGCTGATGGGTCGCCCGGCGGGACCACATAGTAAGCCGGGTCCCCGGCCGTGGGCCAGGTTTCGATCGGAGGGCCGGGGACCAGGCTCGGGTCCGAGGACGGACCCGCGAAACCGCCTGGGTGGCTGCCCGACGTGCGACCCGGCGCCACATCCCCGCTTGAAGTCGCACCAAAGGACCCCCACGGGTTGTGGTACTCGGCCGGGGAGAAGTGCTCCGGGGCCGATACGGCAGTCAGCCCAGACACCGGGTACTGAGGTGGGCCCTGGCTCGAAGAGGGATGCTGCTGTTGCTGATGCTGCTGCTGTTGCTGCTGGTGTTGCTGCTGTTGTTGCTGCTGGTGCTGGTGCTGATGCTGATGCTGATGCTGCTGATGCTGCTGATGCTGGTGGTGGTACTCGGACTGCGGCGGGACACCCTTGTGTGGCGGCACACTCACCGGCCCATGGTGGTATGGCTGCCGTGGATCCGGGACATGTGCCGGGTGCCCCGGCGGAAGACCCATCCCGGACGTGGCCGCTGTAGAGTAGCCGCCAGCAGGGCCACCGTGCGTCGCCGGGATGGGGACCGGAGCCGAGGGGGGACCGAAGGAGACGGTCCCCTTGCCCGGGGCCGACGCACGGCCACCGCTTCCGCCAGCCCGGTCCGACTCCACGGCCGGGTAATCCAGCAACGACAGCTGATCATACAGGTGGTTCAGCTCATCCTCCGACAGGAGGGACAACCGGTCGACCGAGGGCGGCTCATCATCGGAACCAAAGTCGATGACCGGCTGAAGCAGGGTTGTCAAACGCTGGCGGATTTCGCTGAAGGCCGCGTGCGCCCGCTCGAAGGAGGGGCCCCCGTGCGTCGAAGGCGGATGGTCCTCGGTGCCGTTCTGCCCCAATCCAGACCCCCGCCGGCTGCTATGGCTCCAGGGGCCCTCATTCAGCTGGGCGCCCAGGCGGCTGGTATGCACGGAAATCCGCCGGCTATACTCCTGGATCTTGTCGATGATGATGCTGCGCGAGGGCCGCCCAGGGGGATGGTGCTCGGTGCCGGGCCCGGTCCCATGTCCCGGCGGCATGCCAGCCCCGGCGCCTCCGGCCGGGTGATGACCGGCCGGCGCGTGCATGCCACCCTGCCCGGCATCCTGTCCGAGGAAGAGGGGCAAAGCGAGAGGGCGAACCGGGAGGGTGAGATACGATTCGGCAAACGGCAAGAACTTCACACCAGACGGCAAAAGGGGGGGGGGCAGGCGAAAAAGCCCGGGATAGGAGAGGGGGCAGCAAAAGAGCGCCGCAAAACATACCGAGCCAATCAGGCCGAAGATGGAGCGCAGGAATTGCGTCGGCGCAGAGGACTGCTCGCTGGGGCCGGAGGCGTGCGGCCCAGGGGGGTTGGTAGATCCCGGAGGACCGTGCGAATGCCCGGCCGGGTACCGGCCTACACCACCACCGGGAGGCATGGCACCCGAGGCCGAGGCGTCATTGGCCGGGCCACCGGAATGCGACAGGAACCCCGGGCTAAAGCCAGCACTAAGGGTGTTGACACCACGCTGGAACCAATTGGGAGCGCTCGACACGGGGCCCGCGTGCGGGCGCCTCTGGCCCGTGCTCTGACTCGAGGCCGACAGGTGCGGCGCATGTGTCGAGTAGCCCCCGGCGGCGGGGGCGGGGGCTCCCGTCGCCGCCCCCGCCGCCGCAGCCGCCGCCGCAGCCGCCGCAGCCGCCGAGGAGGACGCCGCCGCCGCGGCCACCATCTCAAAGGGAATGTCGATACTGGTGCGCGCACTGGATGGCGTCGAGGAGGAGGTGCCAAAGTAGGCGGCGCTGCTATGCCGGCTCTTGGCCACGCCGGCTTGACTGCAAATGTTGGAAGACGAACTGGACGACACCAAGTAGTGACCGGCACCGGAGCCGCCGCCGCCGCCGCCGCCGCCGCCGCCGCCGCCGCCGCCGTGGCCGGTGGCCGCCGGGGCCGAGGCGACCGATGACAAGGACGAAACCGACCCCACCGAGGAGATGGAAGCGATGGAGCTGACACTTGACCGGCGTCGGGACCCGGCAAAGCGCCCGGCAATCGGCGACGAAGGGCAGAACACCGGCGAGGCCAGGCCCGACGAGGCGGCCGAGTGGTATGCCCGGTCGACCGGGGTGCCGCCACCCAGGCCACCCAGGGCCGTGGCCGTGGTCGCCATACCTTGCCCGGAGGTGGGCCCACCACCGGCCGGAGCGAACATCCCCCCACCCGGGCCATATGTCGGCGAGGCCAGGGACGAGGCGGAGGCCGACTCGGTCAGCCCCGGGCCATCGAAGGACGACCGAGCCGACGCCCCGAATCCGAGGCCCGAGTCAAATTGCGGCGTGCCCGGCCCGGAGGGGCCGAAATCCCCGCCAAAGCCCCCGGGCTGCGACGAGGGGCGCAGATCCAGGAAAACCGGAGCCCCGGCATCATGTGGCCCGAGACCCGACGGCACGCCGTAGCCGCCTGCGCCGCTCGGGGTGCCAGCATAGGCATCCGCCGGGGCCCCGAGCCCTGAGTGCCGCGGCGAGGAGGGCAGCCCGGGCCCACGCGCATGATGGTGCTGCTGCGGATGCTGATGCTGCTGCGGATGCTGCTGGTAGTGGGGATGCTGATGCTGCTGCTGCGGATGCTGCTGCGGATGCATGTGCTGATGCATGTGCTGATGCGGGTGCGGATGCGGGTGCGGATGGTGCCCGGAGTAGCTGGCCGAAGCAGCTTCATGCGGCAGGGATCCCGTGGTGAAGGACTGCACCGAGGCCGACTTGCGCATGTGCTCCGAACCAGTGGACGCAGGGAAGCGCCCGTTGGCCATGCTCCCGAGCGAGGAGTTGGAGTCCGAGCGGGTGATGCCGCCGCCGCCGGTGGCAGTAGTGCGCGAGGAGGAATTCCGCCGCAGGGACCCCGAATACCGGGGGAAGTTCGGCCGCGGTGAGGAGGACCGCGAGTTTGGGGCACTGGCCGCGGCCAGGGCAACCGCTGCCGCCGACGGCCCCGGGGCAAAGGAGCCGCCAATGGTCCCCGTCTCTTCGAAGGAGTCCGCCGAGGGGCCCGAATGCCCGTCGGCAACCAGAGAAGGCATCTCCCCGGTGGGGAAGGGCCCGACCATGGAGGCGGTATCATGCGACCTGGAGCTCGGGTCGGGCGATGCAACCGACGGGGGCTGCTCCTCACCAGGGGACATGCACGATGAAGAGTCGACCTGGCAGTTGGACATGGGTCAGTCGAGTGGCAGGCGGCAGTCGGGCGGACATCGAGCGAGCGGATGAAACACAGGGAGGCGGGGAAAGACTGAAGGAGGGGGTGGGGGAAGGGGAAGAAAACAGGAGAGGACAAGGATCCGCATACCGAAGCGCTGGTGGCCGGGGCATTCGACCGACGCGAGTAGAAGATGGACAGGTGCTTGCGCGGGGTCGACACCGCCGTGGTGAAGGGCGCCAGGATGGACGTGGCCGAGAAGGATCGCTCCGAGGAAGGGGCCAGCGCGCTGGTGCCCGAGTCGCCCGACCGACCTGGCATCAAGCTCGGGAAGATGCTGGAGATGGAGAAATCACTCTTGCCACTGGGACCGCCAGCGGCGCCGGTGCCACCGGCATGGGCATGATGCTGGTGACCGGGATCAGCCGCGGCGGCGCTGGTGGACGACGATCCGGAGGAGGTGGACGAAACCGATGCGCTGGAAGAGGCCGAGGAGACCGAGCCCGAGCGGCCCGGGCGCGTGGTCGGAAGACCGGAGCCACCGGGGCCCGGGGCACTCGGCGACCGCCAGCTCTCATTGGCCCCGCCGGGATCCTGGCTGGCCGCCGGGGCCTCGTGTCCGGCTCCCGAGGCGGCCCCATGGCCGCCCGGGGCCGGGAAGGCATTGGTGATGGAGGAGGCCAGGGAGGAGGCCAGATGCTTGATGGAGGAGGAGGAAAATCCCTTCTCCCGGGATCGGGGAGTGGGTGACTCGGCCTGAGCCGGCGGCCTTGCGCCGGGCCCCGGCCGAGCACTCGAGGCGACTACCACCGGAGCCGGGGTCGATGCCTGTGACGAACCGCGCCCCGGGGAGGTGCAGTCCATCGGTGAGTCAGCCTCCGGGGCAAGTGCACCGGGGGAAGAGGCGATGACCACATCCACACCGGGCCCAGGGGCAGCGGCCACCGTGGGGCTGTCCGGATCGTCCAGCTCCTCGGACATGGCGGCATGCTCGGCATGCTCGGCATGCTCGGTGGTGGTGGCCGGGCCGCTGGGACTGGAGGAGGAGAAGTGGGTCGGCAGGTCGATCGGCGAGTGGGGGAAGATCTCGGTAGCCGAGAGGCCAGGCGTGAGCCCGGTCGAGTCCATGGTGCTGCTGCCACCGGCGCCGGGGCCACCGGCGCCAGGCGAACGGGGGGACTGGGTGCCCCCCGAGGGGTCTGCCGCGCCATCCGCCCGGTGGCGCGATCGAGTGGAGCGCGAGCGCGACCCGCCAGACGAGGAGGACCCGTCGGTGGAGGACCCGGACTTCGACCGGCCTGAGCGCCGAGAGCTCCGGCCGGAGGAGGATGAAGAGACCGAGGCGCCGGCCAGCTGTTGCTGCATCATCTGCTGCTGCTGCTGATGCATGGTGGAGTAGTAGTGGTGGTACATCTGCATCTGCATCGGGTGGATGGGCTGATAGTATTGCGCATGGGGCGAGACCAGATAGTAGCCACCGGGATGGTTGGGATCAGGCTGCACGGTGTCGGCGGATGTGGAGGAGCTCTTCCGACCGGAAGCCGGAGAGGGGGCGGCATCCGACGGCTCGGCATGGCCGCTGCCCCCATCGGGAGGACTGGCCGCCGCGCTGTCCGCCCCTGGGGCATGATGCTCGGCTCCGGTTAGGTCCGTGGGAGCCATGGCTGCCGCCGGGTACACCCCACCGGACATGGACATCATCGGCAAGTACATCGGATGCATGTGCCCGTAGCCCATCATCGGACCGGCGGCCTGCGAGGAAGACCCGCGGCTGGAAGTCCGCCGTTGGCGTGATGACGAGGAATCGCCCTTGCGGCTTCGCGAGGAAGAGGAAGAGGAGGAGGAGGAGGACGACGAGCCACTTGAAGAGGCGGAAGAGGAGGAGGCCCCGGAGGAGCGCTTCCGGCCGCTGCTGGATGTCGGCGGGCTGCGGTCCTCTTCGAGTCCCGGCGGCGAGGGCCGATCCCCGGCCGGAGGAAGGCCCGAAGACCCGAGGTCCCGGGGCCCAGCGTGCGCGTCGGCCCCAGCCCTGTGCATGTCGCCCGCCGGGGTGGAGGTGCTATCGTGGGTGGTCATCATGGGCTGGTGCGAGGTGCCATGACACGCAGGGCGAGGAAGGGGGCACGGGGGGGGGGGGCGGGGGGGCGGGGGGGCGGAGCGTCTATGCTACGAAGGATGAGCGGCCCGGGAGCAGCGGAGGCGAGAAAGCACTGGCAGTGCACGGGAGGGCATGTGTGCGAGTGTGTGGGCGCATGCAAGGAGGACGAGACAAAAGGAGGCCAGCTGGTGACATACCCGTCCCTCTGGAGAGGGGTGGAGACTTGAAACGTGTCACCCCCTGCAGGCCGGTGTCAGGGAGGTGAAACCGACGAGCAGCGGTGGGGAGGGGGGCGCGGAGCAGGGAAAGAGGCTGCAGTAGGGGGAGCGAAGAGGAGGGGTGCAAACGCGCGTATGTGTGTGTGTGTGTGTGTGTGTGTACGTGCGTGCGTGGCCGGACTCTGCCAGAGAAGAGGCTGATGTGGGCAAAGAGGCCGCCGCGGAGACCCTGGGGAAGGAGGCAGAGCGTGGGGATGCGCAAGACAATATGCAGGGCGGGGGAGGAGACGGGCGAGGGGGGGAGGGGGGTCGATGGGTGTGGCGGCGTCGAGCCAGGTCAGGGGCGGGCTCCCGCGCCAAGAATAGTGCGGAAGGAGGGGCCGAACAACCCGCCAGCCGCTGGGCCCAAATCCGGCACACAGGCAGGCCGGCGATCCGTGTGCCGCTTCCCCGGTGGGCCGGATATAAAAAACAACAACGGAGCGCGAACAGGGCCCCGCGTTTGTTCCCCTCCCCCCCCCCCCCCCCCCCCTCCCCCCCCCCCCCCCCATCCCCTCGGCCACCGAGCCGGGAAGGCGGCGCAGGTGGCCGAAGACTGTCCCCGTAGCGTGAAAAACTCTGCGGGGGCGCCGTACTTGTGCGAGACACCCTGGGCTCGGATTCCCGCCGGCATCCCAGGCAGCGGTGGCCGAAGCGGCGTAGCACACCCACACCCATGCGCGCGCGCGCGCGCGCGCACCTCCACATGATGACACAATTGGAGGCCGACACAGGGATGCGCGGGGCGCAACAAGGCAGGATCGATCGAGTGCGCCGGGGAGAATAACCAGGCCCGGCTCGCCCGGACGGTCGGGAGGCCGAGAGTACGAATGAACAACGTGTGTGTGCGGGTCCTGGCTCTCTCATGCCCTCGGAGGGTCGCGCGGTGGACGCGGGCGCGTGCAGAAGGGCAACTCCGAAGGGGGAGGCGGGCCGGAACGGGAGCGGGCGAGGCTGGCATCACAACAATCCACCCCGAATAACAAGGCGTGCAAGGCGGGGCGCATTAAAAAAAACACGCTGCCAATATAATCCACTCTCCCAACGGAGGCCCCCCCTCCTTCGCTGTGCCGGGGATGGACTCGCAGGCCAGCAAGGATGCCATGAGCCTGGACGCCCCCCAGCCAGCCCCCCCCCCCCCCCCAGCCCCCTCCACCCGCGGGCTTCGTTCGTGCCCAGAGCTCGCCTGCCCTCTCTCAACGGCCAGGCAAAGGGGCACATGTGCGCGCGGAAGGCCGCCCCCGCCGGAAGCCGCCGCCAGCCTCTCGAGAGGGGCGCGACATGAGCCTGCTCCCGCGCGTGCCGGCACGCCCACGATGCCACATACATTTTTGAGAAGGCCCATACTGGCCGTCAGTTGCGGCCCGGAGGGGGGGGCTGGCAGGGGCGGCGCGCGGGCCAGGGCGCGCGGATGCACGGGCGGCCGCCCCCCTGGGCCCCCGCCCCTCCCCCTGCCGGAGGGTCCGTGCCCGGGGGACACAAGAGACCGGAGAATGGGCGGGCCCAGAGCCGGAGAAAACACGGCGGCCGATCGCCCTTCAACGGCAGGGGAGGGGGGGGCCACGCCCGTGCGCCAGCAGAAGAGCCGCACGGCCGGGTCGTTCCTTCCCGGCCGCCCCGCCCTCGCCGGCCGTTCTCCGTTCGCCGGCTCCCTTCAAGTGTTGAATAATGTCGCCCCCCCCCCCCCGCCCCCTCTCCCTGCCCACCAGTCCCGAGAGCTC